TGAAAGTGCTGCTGGAATAGAACACAGTGAGATGATGGTCATGGGTGTTTTCTCTCCTTTTCCACTCCCAGATGAGTAAAGTTTGGAACGAACTGAAGCCGAAGTTGAGCTGCCTTTTCGTGGGATCCAGCAATATGCCAACTCCACCACTGTCACCTCCAGAGGGAAACTTCTTCTCCAATTAATGCGCTCAGCATCCCGCATGGAGCAAGAAGTGTGATCAGCGAAGGGGTGGGACCTCTACCTCCAGATGTTAGAATGAATCCTCCAAACGGCTATTTTTATTCTGTAATACTGCTGCTTTGAGCTGCTCTCTGATTAAGACAGACTGGATGTGGGGCAGAACATACAGATAGAGAGACAATCTCTTTGTTTTGAAATGCTCTGGGGCAGAGCTGATGTTCGTTATCTTGCAGACACTCTTCATGGGGTCAGGATGTGACCCGGTGCAGTGAGTGCTGCAGTGTTGTTGCTGATGCCTCTGCATCTTGTACTAACAGTCCTCTAGTAATGAGTATCTGCACACGTGCTGACACATCTCTGAAGTGCTGAGATGAACAAGATATCTGAAGCACTTGCTTGTAGTAGAGATGGATTGCCTTTTAAGCTGGGGAGGGCCTGTTTTAGGGACATATGTGCATAAGGAAAGCTGAAAGCCATCCCCCATCCCATTGGAGTTGATTTCTCACTGCTAGACCTTAGCACAAGATACATGAATGAAGCAGTTGGGGTGGGGGTCTGTGCTTCTGGCTGAGCAGGATTGTCCCTGTGGGGCTGGGCAGGCTGTTGTGTTCACCATTGCAGGGCAGCCTGGAGACTTGCTCATCTCTTTCAGTTTGGGGCCAAAGACAACTAACTGGGTTCAAGAACTCAGAGGAGTTTGCCTGGTGTAAATGAGAAAGTAATAGAATAAAACACTCCTTCATTGTAAACCACTCCTACTACCTGAGCAGCAATAACCAAAGTAGCTTGGTTATTGTCTTCTGGAGGTTCTGACATCCATCTCTTGAGTAGCTGTTTAGGACTACTGGAGAGCTGCTGACCCGCAGGCTGGTGTTCTCTTTGGTCTGGTATCAGATGCAGTATCTTGTTGAACCAGCATGCTGGAACACAATGCTGATAAAGTTCATTAGCAAAAAAGATCAGTATTTATCAGGATGTTACTGTCACCCATTTCTGGCTGTGGGTAGCACTGGAGTGTGTTTGTGAAGGAGAGAAGACGATTAAGTGACAGTTCTCTCTCAGAATAGGACAGTCCTTGGTAATAGAATGATTTGTGATAGAGGGACCAAACCTTCTCCATGTTTTGCTTTGTTTCTCGGGTGATTTTCCCTCATGAGGCCAAGGGTGGGGGGAAGAGACCTTGCATGCCATAGAATCATCTGTTTCCTCAAGGGAAATGGTGCATATCCTCCGGAGAAACTGATAACTGAGGAAACTGCAAACGTGTGCAGCAAAGCTTAATGTGAACAGGACTCCCCTGAACCTGGCTTCTGTGGGGTCAAAGTAGCTGCCAAAGGGGAATTTGAGACTTGGCTTCTTAGTGTTTTCTTTGAGTGGGTAAAAAGGAAGCACATTACCAAGGGTCGGTGCTTGCTCTCAAACTGGAACCGTTGCAGTATTTCCCATTGGGGAATGTCCCCGTTAGCAGGAAGTAGATTTAAATCCTCCAATCACAAAACCTTTTTTCTTTATTAACTTAGGAAACTCAATGCAACACGAAGTTCTTCCTAGCCCAAGTGGAAATTACGGGTTAGTTTGTTCAGCTAGAAGTGAGATAGTTACGTGCCCAGTTCCGTGAGACAGGCATAACCATTACACACACCCCTCAAAATGTAAAGTGCACTTAAGTGGGTGAGTTTCTTAAGAGCTGGGCCTTAAGGAGTGTGTAGGGTGTCCTGTTTAACAACTGCTCAGAGTTAAGAGCTTCATAGAGCAATTCAAATGTTAACTCTCCCCTGAGTCTCTCCTCCCATGTATTAGCCATGTCCAGCCAGACAGGGTTGATACTTCCTCCTGAAGATTTCCACAGTGGTGCAGCAGAGATTCTGCTCACAAGGCAGAGCAAACTGGTTGGGAAGGGGAACATCTGTGCAGCACGGTAATAAAGAAGACAGTATCTCAAGACCAGCACAGAAGGTTTTTCTGCTTGACCTTATCAGGAACATAGTTTGGAGTGTGGAGAGCATGTTGCTGTAATTTTAAATGCTCTTTGCTCCCAGCATCTTTAGAAGCTGCTGACTGGTTACAGCCTGTCGTTTGCTTAGTCTTTGAACCTTGTTCAGCCTCGTTTGCCTGATGTGGTGAACAAGCAGACTGAGAAAATACCATGTTTTGGGGCAAGATCTGGTATCTGTATGGTGTATCTTCTGTGTAACTTGTCTGGCTGGGGTAGATGACTGGGCTGTGTCCTGCAGGAGCACTTGCTAAGTATTAGCCTGAATGGAACTTGGCATTTCTCACTTTTATCTGAAGTTACAAGTTTGGACTTTATTTAAAATCAAGACAAAAAAAACCCAAGCATCAAACCCACATTTGGGCTTTAGACTAAATCCTCTCGTTCTCCTTCAAAGCAGGAATTCTGCAGTCCAAAAGTAGCGACTGTAATGGTGATAAATACAGACCACATGACCTGTAAAGAAACTGGAATTACATTGCTTGGATAGAACCCCATTCCAGAGCTCACCTCTCTGAAGGGAGCAGTTTTGGGGGTGGGTTTCCTTGGTTGGGTTTTACTCTGTTCACCTATTTTGAGAACAGAGGCATAGTGTTCTCAAAGCTGATAACAGCTAATGGCACTTTCAGAGTTCCTCTCATACTGGACTGTCAAGCTTCTGTCTCATTCCTAAATACCTGCCTACACTATTTCATACAACCCTTAGTTTGCAAATCTTATTTTTGGGAGACTGGTCAGTGTGCAAATAGCACTGTTACGTTTACCTCAATATGTGAGGGGTTTCCTTACTGTATTTGTTCTGTTTAGTTTATGGATCTGCCAGGCCTGGGGAGCAGCACCAAGTACAGCTTCCTTCCTCTAGAAGGATACAGCAGGGAGTCAATCCAGATGACTTCAGTTGTTTCATCTCCCCTCATCAGTGTAGGAGAATCAGTTCTAGTTACCTCCGTGCTATCGCCTCCTGCAGCAAACAGCCCAGCTATACACAAGGGTAGGAACAAGACTTAATGGAGTTGGTTCCGTTGCTGGTAGCTGGGTAGATTGCACTAAACACTAATCAAACCAGGAGGCTAACTGATGCCTGTCCAAGAACTGATGCTCCTGTAAGATGTAGCGCCAAAGAGTTAATGTGCCTTCTTGAGTGGAAGCTTTCTGTGTTGCTGGAGGTCACAGGGACTTCCATGTGTTCAACAGTGATGGTAGAAAAGGCCTCCAATGTTCCTGTCAGTGTCTCTGTCCAACCATGTTATGGAGGTATCAGGGTAGTAAACAGCTGAGAACCTGAAACCGTGCCTGAAAATTGTTTTATCAAAAGGGCTATATGTGTTTGTCACTCTTGAGGTCTCCTCTGCTCTGAGCTGTGAAGTGGCAATATCGAGGCTTTTTGACCAGTGTCTTATGTTGAAAGCCTTTCAAAACTATATTTACAATACAACCTTAATCTTTGATCCCGCTTTCCCCCTCCTTCCATCTTTGCAAGTTGGTGTTCCTCTGTATTCAGCAGTGCCTTGCTGCATTCCAGTGCTTTTACTCCTCTACTTTGATCGTGCAAGGGTGTAATTCCTGGAATTTCTACCAGGCTAATTTCCAATCTTCAGTTTGTGCTCTTTCCTAAAAGACTAAGATCACCAGCTGGGGACACAACTTGGTTAAAACATGTCAGTCTCCACAGCTGGGTAGGAGCAATACCATCACTGCTTTTTGACAGGAGCTAAAGAGGAGATGGCAAATAGAAGTGCAAGCATGAGCCACACTTGTTCTTTTCTTTCCTAAAGTGTTCCTGGAGTTACCTGCTGTTCCTGGAGGAATAGAAAGTAACTTGCTCTCTCTCAGCTTGCCATTTAGTTTCCACCAGGAAATAATCCAAACTAACATCACAGGTAACAGCTGCCAGTCAGCCCTTTCCTACAACACAGTCAGGTTTTGCACCCTGCTACAAGCTACCGATCTCCTTGTGCCTATTTTCTCTTCTCTGCTTACCTCGAGCCCTTCTCTCCACCAGAACAGCCAGAACCTCTTAATGCTGTCAGGAACAGAGGGGAGTATCAAGAACTCTGTAAATAACTCTGTGGAGCACAAAAGTGAAAGCAAGATCTGAAGGTATTAACTCTTATCCTATGTCTGAGTTGTAACTTACTGAGCACATGAAGAAGGGCATTTTTGAGTGCTGTAAATCATTCACAACTGCTGGAGGGAGACAAGAACAAACAATCTTGTTCAGAGGGTGTGAATTTTGCCTGCCTGGAATATCCTGTATCTTTGCTTTGCTCAAATAGCCTTATGTATGAAGCACTTTATCCAAATGCAGGAATTAAAGAACTATTACTACAGCTGTTAGACTGGAAATGTTTACAGAGCCTATATTACATTCCAAGAGTCTATCTGTGTTATATGTGTTTGTAAAAGTTTAAACCAAAAACCAAACAAAACTTGTGTAAGAAGTTTACATATGTGATGTGTTATTTCTAGCATGGTTTCATTCAGCCTTTGCTGCCCAGTGTGCTGAGATGGGCTGAGCAGGTCACTTGCAGCCACCACACGGCAGAGCTTGCAGCCATAGGTGATGGCACTTTGTAACGTGGTTTTCCTCAAAGTTGATTTTGTTCAACGTATTTTACAAAGGGCTTTCACAGTGCTGGTCAAGCTTTGCCTTACCCCAGGAGTTAATGCTCAATAAGGAACTGGATAGAAGCTGGCAGAGAGAAGATAATCAATTCTGCTGCATCACTGTCCACTTAATGCTTCTGTGAAAGGAAGCCAACTCCTGAAAGGCCCTTAACCAGTTGAGAAGGCAGCCAACATTTAACAACAGAGCAATGCATGCTTTTACTAAAAAATAGCTTTAATCTTTAAAAAAAAACATCTACAGCCATGAGGGGAAAGCCTAAAACATTATTCACCTGCGCAGGAAAGAGTTAACACTACGTTTTTAATAGCTGTGATCACATAACCCTGGCTGAAGTGTATGTAACACAGCCAGGGACTTCACAGCATGGACAACCTCATTACTTTTATTTCGACTGTAAGAAACCCCCTTATTTTCCTGGTTACTTCCCAGTGACCTGACACATCGGCCTCTGCTGGAGAGCTGAGAAAGAAGACCCTTGGAAGTAGTACTCGTGGTGTTCTAGCCCAATGTGGGCAGCAGCACGTGTGTTCACTGCTTCTGTTTTCTTAAACTTCCTCCACTTCTTTCAGGGTGTGCTCCAGGATTGTGTCTTGTCCCTGGAACTTAAAATAGCCCCGAAACAACTTCTTCTGAAGCACAAGGGGAAACCAGTAGATATCGTCTGCCCACATGCGACTGAACGGCACCTCATCCAGCTGAAACCACTGGGGACGCATTTCTGGTGGGAGAAAAGAAGCCAACTTTGTGTGAGACTTTCTCTTGGGGGTGCTTTGCTCATAGACTCTTAGAATAGTTAGGGTTGGAAAAGACCTTAAGATCATCTAATTCCAACCCCCCCTTTGAGTATTTGTCAGTAAGTTTCCCTCTATAGCTCAGCTGCTTCCCTTCACGAAGGGATTTTGGCCTGAATAGTTCTGCTTTTCCTAAGAGCAGTACTGTCTCAGAAGAGAATGCACATCCTTCCTTCCCCTCCACCTACCGTCGCTTTCTGTTGGCTCTCCATGAAAATCATCTGCTCGGAAAACGTGGACCTCCATGAGTTCGGAGTTGCCCACAAATTCAAATGTGATCTGACCCATCTTCTGCAAGGTGTTCACAGTCAGTCCACTCTCCTCCAGGAGCTCCCTGCACAAGAAACAGACTTCTTCACATGAAAGCAAGCAGTGGGAGAACCAAAAGGCTTTAGCTTTACTTGCACGTTTAAAACTCATCTAGTGAACTAAAGATGGATGCTGCACCTGCAAAACGGAGCAGGGCACAGCAACTATTGACTGACTGACACCACAGAACAGCCAGGTCAGACTAGCTCCTGTGTTATTCCAAGCTCCTAAAGGCTGGTAGGAAAACAGTTTATGTTGGAAAGGGAAGATTCAGGAAAAATTACTGTTTAGTGTAAGTTACATTCCTTACAACATGAGGATCTTTTCTGAGATGAGTGAGAAGTGGGCTAATGCTTGTATGACTGTAGCTGCATGTGGTTTAAGAACTCCAAGATAGGATTTGTTGGCTTTGCCAACTTCAACCTGAAGCTTTTAGAACTGTGGAGAAGCAGGTAAGGAATACTGAAACATCTGTACTGCAACAAACTCAGCTACTGCTGAGGTTAACTGAACCTTATTTAAAGAACACTACACACTACTAACATCATTTGCACACAGAGTTTGGAATACCATTTCCCATTCAAATGCCACATAAAAACACAAAGCAGTTGTGTAAACTTTCCATTTCTGCTCCTTGGAAGTACATTTAGCATAAGGAGAAGCTACAAGGGAAGACTTAAAGAGCACTTGAGGGACTTGCCAGACAGCTCTTTACCATTCATCACCATGCACAGCTACTCGAAGCACATTCAGTTACTTGCTCTCTTTGTGCTATGTGCTTAGGGCTTATTTTTTTTAGCCTACCCCTAACAGAGTCAGCATAACTCGAAGTTAGTCATGGTTTTTCTAATGGACAAAAATAAGGAATGCTTGGAAACAATGCATCTTCAGTTAAGGTTAATAATTGATGTAGTTGAGTATTTGGCAGCCACTTAATTTCAAAATGTAATGGAAATGCTCTTTAAGGCTCCAGCTTGCTTTGACATCGATTTCATGGATCCCATCCTTCAAAATCGTGTTCCAACTAAATAGCTTAGCTAATTTTAGTTTCCTTAAGAAACTGTGTTTAAAACAGAGGCAGTTTTCCAGCAGGAAATCTAAAAGCCTCATTTGACAGGCTGTGATAATTGAAAAACAAAGCACAACACTGCTATGGTTCTCTAAGCAATTTATCTGTTGGCTGTTTGGCTTCGTATATAGGAAGTAGAAACATTACAGGGAGCAAACTGAAAATAACAAACTAAATATTCCCCTTACAAGACGTGCTAGTGAGGAGCCATGAGTGCCCAGGTGCTCATAGGAATGTGATGTACCCAATGGAAGATAGGAGTCTTAACAGGCAGAGGAAACTTGCTCATGTTTCAGCTTAATGTTTAACTATCAGTGCTGTGAGGACACTTCACACCTTACACCAGTGCAAAGCCAACGGAGACAGTGCAACACAGAACCACCGCCTACTACCCCAGCCCTGAATACAGAGCAGCCAAGGTAAGTTTGCTTTGAACTGTGTGATGCTTCTTGGAGGAGAGCTGCACCTAAGGTAGCTGTAGTAGTGGTGTTCCTGCCAGGAAGGCAGGCTGTGTCTACCTGGCTCTGGGAACTGCTTCCTGCTCAGCTGGTATCAGTGGTGTCGCTGCAGTGAGCTCCTACGACCTGAATGGAAAGGGATGAGGACTGGATTGCTCTGCACTCCACAGCAGCAGGCACTGGCTGTTTTGTGGCACATTGCACTGGGATGGGTGACTCCTTTCTCACTTGGCATCTCATAGAGACTAAAGCTCCAGTTTCTCACTCTAGGCAAACACACACCTAGGAAATCAAATGCTAAATTCAATCATTTCACACCACAGTGCCAGTGCAAGCCTAGCAAATGGAGGCCTGAATTAAGTAACAAAACAAATCTCCCTCCTCTTAGAGATGACAAATCACATGAAAAGCCATACTGTAAGCATGAAGTACATTAACACTTGCAGAGAGGGCCCCTGTATCCCTGAAAGAGCTCACCACAGAACCCAGGAGGTTGTACTGGCACAGATGGCTCAGGGAAAAAGCTGTTGGGTAGCTGCTGAGCTACACCAACGCTCATCTTCCTGCAGCTGCAAGGGCAAATTGGGGCATTTATCAGAAACAGAGGAAGTGGCAAAGTGTGGCTTTGTATCAGCAATGTTTGTGTAAAGAATGAGGTACCTAAATTTTAGAGGAGTTTAGCAATTCAGCTGCCATCTGCTATTTCATTTTACTGACTAAACAGAAGAACTCTGAGGAATGAGTACTAAAAGCTTCAGAAATGCTATTGTACCTCTGCTCTGATGGAGTTCAATTCCCCAACTCAGCATTAAGGCTTCAAATGCTGCCATGAAGTCAAATCATAAATTTCACCAGCGCCTTTCATAAGGGACCCCTAAAAATCTGTTTTGCTACTATGTTTTCACTACTGGAAGGCAGCATCTGCTCAACAGCTTCAACATTAAACACTAAGCAGTTTGCTGGCATAAGCTGTAATTCTGCTATGCAGCCACGATTAAACTTTGCACCCTTATGAACAGTGCAAGAACTTCTGCCCACCACTAGCACACAAAGGCTCAGTTTAGATCAGTCTTTGGAAGGGAGGATGCTCACTTCCAGTTACTCATAGACTGGACAACAGTTAAAGATTTGCAGATGACAGCAATGGGAAGCCATCCCCTTTCCCTGTTCATGTGGCCGATCCTTCATCGCCTGTGGAGCAGGCCAGTTTCTGTTCAGAGATGGCTCAGGACAGCACTGGTGGGTGACACTGGTTCCAAGGGTGTTACTGATCGGCTGAGCTGCAGTAACCCCACCACAAATGATCCAACACCTCCTGTGCCCTGAACCCACCTCTCCCCACGGCACCAGCTCACCTCCGAGCAGCCTCTTCGATGCTCTCCCCTGGCTGCACCTTCCCACCGAAGCCATTCCACAGCCCGGCTCCGAACCCGCGTTTCTTCAGGCCCAGGAGGACGCGCTGCGGCTGTACCACCAGGACCAGGGTGAAGAGCTTGGTGGTGTACATGGCTCCTGGGCAGGGGATGAGGGCACGCTGCGCCAAGGGCTCCCAGCACCCCTCCCAGGGGAGGCCAAGCTGCTCCTCCAGCACAGTGGGTGCAGGCAGCCCCTCTACCCCAAACACCCATCCCCAAATGCCTGGTCCCAGCCATCCCCAGCCCAAACCCTCAGTCCCCAGTGCCTGCTTCTCTAGCATTCCCCACCAACCCTCCTGCTCTCCCAGCACCCTCTCCCTAAACCACAGCCACAGAATCACCTAGGTGGGAAAAGACCTTTAAGATGGTATAAAGTCCAGCTGAACTGCCAAGTCCACCATGTCACTAAGGGCAAACTGATGTCCCCTCAGGATCTTCACTCACAGCCACCCTTCATTCCACCCCCCACAACAGCGGCCCACACTATATAGCTGCTGCCCCTTCCCCTCATGGCCACTCCTCACGTTCCATGGCCACCCCTGCGCACCCCTCATGATCTTCCCTTATGGCTGCCCTTACTTTCTCGTCGTGATCCCCCTCACGGCCGTTCACCTGCCGCCCCCAACACCGGTCCCCATTCCCCCGGCCCTGTCCCCTCAGCCCCTCCGCCCCTCACGCCCCGCTTTCCCGCCCACCGCTCCGCCACCACCTCAGAACAGGCCCGGCCCGGTCCGGCCCTTCCCGCGCCGCCACCGCTCCAGCCCCGCCTGCGGCAGCCATGAGGGGAGGCGGGGCGGGCTGAGGCGGCCGCCATGGCGGGGAGGCGGGTTGGTGTTGGTGCCGCCGCCGCCGGGGGTAGGTGCGTGGCGGGGCCGCTGAGGCAGCCATGGGAGCCGGGCCCGCCCGGGGGGGGGTGGTGGGGTGTGCCGGGAAGGGTTGGTGTTCCCCCGGCGCCTGAAGCTTTCCTCCGAAACGGGTACCGTGCGTTTGGGGTTTGTCACTGCCGGGGATACCGCAGAGGGGGTTAGTGACCTGGAAAGCTGTGGTGGCAGCGGGTGGTGGTGTGCTGTGCCCAGAGACATGGCAGAGCTGGGGCATCCCTCCTTCCTCCGAGGGGCTGAGGTACCCCCAGCCAACCCCTCTGAAGCAGCCGGTGTGTGTGGGCTGGGGTCAGGCTGCCATGTCGTGTCTCTGTGGGCCTTGAACACAAACAGCAGAGCAGAAAGGAAGAGGTGTGAGGAGGCCGCTGTGTCTCACCTCAGGGTAACCTGTGAGGCATCCACCCCTTGGTTCGGGCTGGACCAGGTAATGAAAAGGTATCGTGAATCTCAATTTTGAAGGCTTTTTTGTGAGCCTGGGAGGAGATGGAGTTGCAACTAGAATGAATTACCTATATAGAGACCTTTGAGATACATAGTGATGCGGCTTGGAGCAACCTGGTCTAGTGGAAGGTGTCCCTGCCCATGGCAGGGGGTTGGAACTGGGTGAGCTTTAAGGTCCTTTCCAACCCTATCCCTTCAGTGATTATGTACTGATTGAATAACTTGCCTTCCTTACCGGGCAGCTGCTGGCATTTGGTGGGCAGATGTCTCCACACCACAGTGAGGCTTCTGAAGAAAACTGGAACTGAGCACTGGTGGCTGGAGCGGCACATGAAGGATCCCTTTGTCAAGGCAGCGAAGCAGCAGCATTACCGTTGCCGAAGTGCCTTCAAGTTACTGGAAATAGATGACAAGCTGCATGTTCTTCGTCCCGGACTTTCCGTTCTTGACTGTGGAGCAGCGCCCGGTGCTTGGAGTCAGGTTGCTGTAGAGAGAGTCAATGCCTTAGGTGCCGGTAAGTGCGTGGTGTTGGCAGGCAAGATGGGGATGCTGCGCATCTTGAGGTGTGTGGGAAAACTCGGTTGTGATGCTGGTAGTGTAGGGAATGGATTATGGATACTGGTAAATGGCAGGAGTCCCTGACAGAGGTGTGAAGATGTGTGGCAGTGAGGAACAGGAGCTCTTTCTTATGGTCTGGAGACATCATATTTGTGAAATTAAAACTTAACGTGGTGCTAATGTTCTGATTAAATGTTACAGGGAAGATCCCTTCATCCCGTTCCGCCATGGATGTGGCCTCAGGAGGTAGCTTGGCTTTCCTTAATTTTTATTTCCTTTCTTGGAAAATGATGGTACCCACTATATCCAGTTTGTGTGTTTTAAGCTATTAGTATTTCCAAGATAAGGTGTTACCATCTGTACTAGCATCCAGCATTTCTGGACTGTCAGCCTTGAAAGAGCAGAAGAAAACCAAGAAAAATACCTCTTGCTTATCCAAAGTATTTGAGTTTTCACATCCTGAATGGATTAGCTTACAGCAGACCATCCATCCAGACACATGTAGCAAATTGTCTAAGGATAAGAAGACCAGATCTGGCAGGTGGTGTGCTTTTTGTTTAATGACTAGCACAGAGCTTGTACTATGGAGGTTGTTTGCAACCATTATGAGTGTTCAGTGTGTCATTTATTCTTATCTAGATCCTGCTGTCCCCACTGGCTTCGTCCTTGGTGTTGACCTCCTTCGGATTGCTCCTCTGGAAGGAGCAGTCTTCCTGTCACAGGCTGACATTGCAGACCCAAACACGCTGAGGACGATTCAGAGTCTGCTTCCTGCAGAGAAGGTGGATGTTATCTTGAGCGACATGGCACCTAATGCGACAGGCATCAAGGAACTGGATCACCAGAAGCTGATCAGTCTATGTTTAGGCCTTCTGAAGGTATCCCAAAGTATTTTAAAGCCAAAAGGAACGCTGCTCTGTAAATTCTGGGATGGGCATGAGTCCCGTCTTCTGCAGAACAGACTGAAGGAGCAGTTCCAAGATGTGAGAACTATAAAGCCTCAGGCCAGCAGGAAGGACTCTGCTGAATCTTACTATTTGGCAAGAATGTACAAAGGGAAATGAAGGCTAAGAACTGCAGATTATCGAACAGTTGATCAGGCAGTCACTGGAACCCCAAATCTGCTGTGTGTTTAATGGAAAATCCCACCATTCAGACCCTGGGGATATCTGCCACGACTGTTACAAAGTATATCACATACAAAAATAACCAGGGTGGTGCCCTGCTGCCTGTATCTGCTAATTATCCCAGCAGAGGCATCCAATCTAACTTCTCACCTGTGGAGAAAACAGTGGGGAATGGAGAGGAGCAATCTGAAAAGTGACCTCTGGGGCTTGGAGTAATGGAAATGGAAATAAAACAGTGATTTTATGAGGTTTTAATGCGTGCTTGAAAATCATTGCACTGTTAATGTTGTCCTGTGTGAGGTTAATCATAAAAGGTGGCTGTCGGAATGAGAGGGAACAGCAAGGGCATTTTAAGCCGATTCGGTGCCTCTTCATCTTTCTTTAAAGCTGGTGCAATTTATTAGCATGTGCAAAAATAGGTAACGTTTTTGTGCCTGTCAGGGTCTGTATCGTCACCCAGAAGGTAGCTTCCCTTCTGTTTTCAGTAGTAGTTTATGTTTGACCAATGCTGTCTCTTAGGTGAAATGATGAGGCATTCCTTGGCACCCAAACAGGGAGGGTTACTGATTGAGTTGCTAGAATTCCTTTTGCACAAAGAAATTTAGCTACTGCTAAGATAAAACCAGTTTATTGGAAAGTGACAACTTTCACATTAAACAGCTTTTATCCGTCTGCTTGTGGCATGAGTTGCAAGATGGGCTCATGACAGCGTCTGGTTGAAGGCTTCCAGATCTTTCTCATTGTAAACAACTCATTTGGGATTGCTTACAGGGTTATCGAATTCCACCTGCTTTGAAACCTCCCGATTCCCTAAACTAGGAAGCTGGGTGTTGCTTTGTAGAAGTTTGGTAAGGAAAAGCCCCAGAGAAATCCCCCCCGCAGTGGCGCTGCCTCCGGTCATTACGGTAGAGCGCGGAGGCCGCGGCGGAGTGCGCGCCTAGTTCCGTCCTTACGGCGGCCCGCGGCGCTGTTCTCGCGAGAGCTGGGCGCGAGTTCTCGTGTGATTTCGGCGCCGGGGAGAGGAGGGAGATCCAAGCGGTGCGCGCGCGGCGGTGAGTGAGGGTGGGAGCGCCTGAGGGCGGGCGGGAGGCCGCTGGCTCCGCTCGGACCGGGCCGGCATAGCCCGGCTCGCCGCTCCCCTCGTGTGCCGCTCCCGCTGCTCGGCTGTCGCTCCCGGCCGAGTACGGTGTCGTAGGAGCGGGGAAGGGAGGCTGTGCCCTGTCCCTGTTCCTCCTACCCCTGGGCGGCCGAGGCGGGGCAGGGCTGTAGGCACTGCTGAGGCCCCGCTCCCCCTTGTGCGCCCTCAGGGGGGTCCGTGAGGGAGCACACCCCCCTCCCCCCCCGCGGTACCTTTGCCAGCGGGTTTTCTGCAGCGGGGACACACTTGTCCTTTTAATTTTTAGCGTTGCTCGTGATTTCAAATCAGGCTTTCTGTGCAGAGTTACCTGTTGGCAGTGGTGTCTCCTGAACTGATTTACATGAGGTACTTATTGCGAATAAACGTTTTCATTTGGGTTTTGGCTGATCCGTTGCCTATATTAGTATTATATCTTCTCTTTGCAGTGATGTAAATCCAAAGAGTAACACCTGTGTTCCCCTGAAAGTTAGACCCGAGTCTGTGTCTTTGGTACAGGGCTGTGTGGATGCGGTTGCCTTTCGTGGTCCTGAATCTTCTGTGGTCCTGAGGCTTTGTGGGGCTCACTAGACTTCTTGAAGTCTCCTGGGAAACCTTACAGGCTTTTCTGGGATCCAGGCTTGTTTTGGCTTTGGCCTTTTAGTTAATATTGTTCTAGATTTGAAGGAAGAATTGTGAGAGCTTTTATGTGAATGAGGAGACAGAGTTTTACTTACAGAAGTGACCTTGGGAAGTTTCGTTGCTGTAAGTTAAGTGCTTTTTTGGAAGCCAGAGGCAAGTTGTGTAGAAGGTGGGATTTACTGCTGCTATGGAATTCTTCCCCCATCAGCCTCAGGTGTTTGGATGAAGAGTAGTAAGTTCTGTTTACTGGTGTTAACCTGCTGCACATCTTCATGTCCTACAATGTTAACTTGTATCCCAGACCTTGATTGTATTGGAAAGGAAAATTCAGTTTTGTATGAGTTATGATAGCTTTTATTTACACACTTATGGGCTGAGATTTGGGGGAGAATCATAGAATAGTTAGGGTTGGAAAGGACCTTAAAATCATCCAGTTCCAACTCCCCTACCTTAGGCAGGAACACCTCCCACTAAACAATGCCACCCAAGGCTCTGTTCAAAATAAATCATTTCAGGTAGAAAGCTCAAGGGAAGAGCAGGCTGTTTTGCATAGTTTTCTCGTTTAGGAGGCCTTCAACTTCAGCTTTGCTTGGATAGTA